AGCTGTGGGGTTAAATAGTCCAGAGGAAAAAAAAGATTACTGATCTAATAGCAGTCTTTTATCCTATCAGGGATTATGGGAAACTATTAGCCAAATGCCCTCCCTCTTCACAGAAAATAAATGAGAAGAATTGGATTTAAACTGCAGTTCATAACCACTTCAGATAGGCATAAGGAAGCACATTGTATATGACAGTAGATGCTATCAAGATAATTTGCAATATTACAGAAACAAAACCCATATAATTTCCTCTGGGAGAAGTGTATATGAATGGATTTAAATCTGTCTAAGGCCAGATGGCATTTGTGATCCTCTAAAAGCAAAGCAGTCCTTTTATGGTACTTTTTCTGAATACTCTGATGTTCAGAGGCCATTTCATTATGTCCGTGAGAATAAAGCCAGCCACTGTAGAGTTTCACACAAACCATTGGTTGTGATAGAAGGAGATAGGCCTACTCCTTGCACTAAAGAAAGCAATGTCCTTTAGTAGCTGTTCTCTCCCAAAATAATAGCTGTAATAGTCATTATTCAATTCTAGCATTGTAAACGGTTCTGAAATACTTTCACAACTGATTTTCTTTGGACTTACATTTGCGCTGTCAGTAGTTCTGTTAGTCTTTGGTGCATGGCAATTCAAGGCTTTATCCAACCTGATTCCATTTTATTGACCTCTCTTTGTTTCCTATTACTTCCAGAAATAGACTCTCATCACATCATACTATTCACCATCTCTTGAATGTTAATATCCCTTAACTTCTCTGAGTTTTTACTATACTGCCCTTTTCTATCCCTTTTCTATTTAGAGAACTCTGATTCAGCTTGTATTCAAGGCTTCCTTTTGCCTCAGCAGAATTCATCGCTCCACCTTTGATAACCATATTGGTTTGAAAATTTAATACAGCGTATTAATGGCATGATCTTGACTAAGTATCTGAACATTTCTGAGTGTTTTACCTTATCAGGAATACTTTTGTGTATTTTAGAGAAATTTTATGAAACCTGAATACTAAAGCATATTATATACAAATGTAATGGGTTAATATTAATAATAGAAATGTGAATATAAACATTAGCTTACAGTTTTGACCAGTCTGCTATGGATCTACTTGGTGCTTGAGCACAACAATCCTGTTTTATTTATTGTCTTCTCCTAAGCATTGAGTCCAAGTCTTGATATTTAATATATCAGATTGAATTGTTTTAAAGTAGGCAGTGGAGATATTATTATCATCATTTTGGAGATTTGAAATTGTGACCCCAAATGCTAAGTTATATCATATTTTAGACATTTAGCATTAGCCACCTTTCCCTGAGTTCACCAAGAGATCTTCCAAAGAACCTGGATGACAAAAAATCAGATTAGAAAAGACATACTACCAATTTTGTAGAGATGAGGATTATAAATGAGTACTATGAATAACCGCACACTACTGAACTGGACAACCTAGATGAGATGGACAGGTTCCTGGAAGTACACAACCTCTCATAACTGAAACATAAAGAAATAGAGAATCTGAAAAGACCTATTAACTGGAAAGGAGATTGTATCAGCCATCAAATACTGCTCAACAAACAGAAGCCCAGGACCAGATGGCTTCACTGGTAAATTCTACCAGCCACTGAAAGAATTAACACCAGTCCTTCTCAAACTGTTTCCCCAAAATGGAAAAGTAGGGAGTTCCTTCTGACTTCTTCTATGAGGGCATTATTTTCCTGAAAGTATAATCATATAATGGCACAAGAAAACTACAGAGCAAGATGCCATATGAATATTGATATAAAAGTCCTTTAACAAAATACCAGCAAGCAGAACCGAACAACATATTTAAAGGATTATACACTATTACCAATTAGGATTTATTCTTAAAATGCAAGTAGGCAATATATGAAAATCAATCAATGTAATACACCACATATATTACCACAATGGAAGGGAAAAAAAAATCACATCATCTCAATTGACATAGAAAAAAGATTTGACAAAATTAATATTCTTTCAGCATAAAATACCCAAGTCAGGACAAGAAAAAACATGCCTCAACAAAATAATAAATACTATTCATGAAAATCCTATACCTAATGTCATATTTAATAGTGAAAGATTGAAAGCTTTTCCTCTAAGATAAGTAATCACAGTAGAGCATCTACTTTCACTACTTCTGTTCAACATAGTGCTGGAAGTCCTAGCCAGAACAATTAGGCAAAAAAAAAAAAAAAAAAAAAAAAAAAAAAAAAAAAAAAAAAAAAAAAAAAAAAAAAAAGAAAGAAAGAAAGAAAGAAAGAAAGAAAAAGAAAAAGAAAAGCAATAAAAACTCTACACATTTAACAAAACCTTGTTAAAACTAGTCAGTGAATTTCACAAAGTTGCAGGTTATAAAATCAGTACTATATTTCTATACACTAGTCATGAACTATTTGAGAAATTAATAAAGAAATTCCATCAAAATAAAATGCTTAGGAACAAACTTAATAAAAAAGGCTAAAGATGTGTATACTGAAAACTATAAAGACTTAATGAAAGAAATTAAAGGCCCAAATAAATGAAAAGATGCCCCACATTCACGGATGAGAAGACTTAAAGCATCAATACAAGCCAAAATGATCTACAAATTCAATGTAATCCTTATTAAAAATCCCAACAGTTACCTTCTACAAAAAGAGAAAAATCAATTCTAAAATTCATGTGGAATCCAAGAGACACTGGATAAGCCAAAACAATCTGGAAAATATAGAACAAATTTGGAAGTCTCACATTTCTTGATTTCAAAACTTGCTACAAATCTACAGTTAATCAAAACAGTGAGGTACAGACATATAAACCATTGTATGGTCAAATAATTTTCAACAAGAATATTAAGATGGAAAAGAACAGTCTTCTCAACAGATAGTTCTAGGAGAATTAGATATTCATATGTAAAAGAATGAAGTTAGATGTTTCCCTTTTGTACAGTGATTAAACTCAAAATGGATCAAAGATCTAAAAATAAGATCTGACACTTTAAAATCTGTTAGATGAAAACATGAGAAAAGCTTCATGACATTGGAGTTCTCAGTAATTTTGGATGTGATATTAAAAGCACAGGAAACACAAAAGAAAATAAATAAATTGGACTACATCAAAATTTAAAACTTTTATGCATCAGATAACACTGACAGAATAGTGTAAAGAACAAAAAAGAGGAAAACACTGGACACTAATGGACAGTATCTGATGAGAGATTAATACCCAGAAAGTTTAAAGAACTTTTACAACTCATAGTAAAAGAAGAAATAACCTGATTTTAAAATAAAGGATTTGAAAAGATATTTCTCCAAAGAAGTTATTCAGATTGCCAATGAGCACATGAAAAGATGGTCCACATCACTAATTATTAGAGAAATACAAAGAAAATCCACGATTAGATACCACTTTGTGCCCATTTGGGTGGCAGTTATTTATAAAAATAAAAAGTAAAGCAACCAAAGTAACAAGTGTTGAATAGGATGTGAAATAACTGATTGGAACACTTGTGGGATTGTAAAGTGGGGCAGTCATTGTGAGAAACGGTGTGGCAGTTCCTCAGAATGGTACAAGTAGAATTATTATATGACCCAGTAATTTCCACATGTAAGTACACAACCAAAAGAATTGAAATCAGAGGATCAAAACGTGTGCATACATCGGTGTTCATAACAGCATTGTCCACACTCGCCAAAAGGGGGAAGTAACCCAAGTGTCCGCCAGGGGATAAAGGGAAAAACAGAAAGTGGTATATTTATGTATTCATGTATTATTTATCTGTCTTGTGGATGGAAGGGAATTCTGAACATGCTGTACCATGGATGAACCTTGAAGACATTACGTTAAATGAAGTAAACTAGTCACAAAAGGCTAAATACACTGTGATTCTAATTGTACAGGCTACCTACAAAAGTCAAAATCATAGAAACAACAAGAATGGTGGTGGGGGGTAAGAGGAAGGAAGAATAGAAGTTATTGTTTAATGGATACAAATTCATTTGGGGAAGATGAAAAAGTTCTGAACATGGAAGGTGATAATGGTTGCAAAACAATGGAACATATTTAATGCCACCGAACTTTATACTTTAAAATGATTAAGATGATAAATTGTGTATTTTAATCACAATTTGAAAATATTTTAAATTTTAAACCAAAAAGTCACAAAAGTATATACTGTATGATTCCATTTACTTAAGATACAAAAGTCTATGGTGTTACATGTGGGGACTTTTGTTACCCTCAGGAGAGGTGAGTAACCGGAAAGATGCAAGGAGAGGCTTCTCAGGCTTGGTGATGTCAATCTTGTAACAAGTGTGTGTATAATTTATAAAACTCTTTGAGCTCTACGCTTATAATTTGTGTATTTTTCTATACAAGTGTTATACTTCACTTATCACTAAAAGGTTGGTCATGGGGCCCCACAGGAAATCTTCAGAATCAGAATATCTAGTAGTGTTGCTTGAGAACCTTACCTTCAAAAAGAAAGTCCCCATTCCAACTTTTTCTTAGAAATGTTTGATGCTGAGAATTTTTGCTGAAAGACATTATTCGTATCCTTCTAATGCCCAAGAATTCTCCAGTTCTATCCTTAAAATAAATATCCCTTAGAAAGAAACTAGTATCTTCATTAAGTCACTTTATCTTCTGTTAGGAAAATACATGCCATCTTTTAGCTGCTAAGAAATCAATGACATATAGAAATGGGTAGTTTTATATTTCCTATTTAAAATATTCAAATCTGCTGTGACATAACTGAGGAATACTTATCTGTAAGAGTGGAAAACAGTTTCAAGGAGTCTTCTAAAATAAGGCAGGTTCTAGGACCTAGTAGAATCCGGCAGCCTTATTTGAAGATGAAACATCACCGTGAGGCGTGGTGCCTGAGCAGGTACAGAAAATCCAGTTCTTCCACATGTAACCCACTTAGACTCCATTCCGCTCTCTTCACACTGTCTCCAAGATTAACACTGCCTTTATCCTTGCTTGTTAAACTGAAAGCATGTTTCTTGCAAAGGCTTTTTTGGAAGGGGCCGATCGGGGTCTTGGAGAAGCTCTGGGAGGCCTTCTGGGAGGAGGTGGTCAAAGAAGAGGAGGAAGAGGAGGAGGAAATATTGGAGGGCTAGTAGGAGGAATTGTGAATTTCATCAGCGAGGCTGCCGCAGCTCAATACACTCCAGAACCGCCTCCCACTCCTCAGCATTTCACCAACGTGGAGGCTTCTGAAAGTGAGGAAGTTAGGCGTTTTCGACAACAGTTTGCACAGCTGGCTGGACCAGACATGGAGGTGGGTGCCACTGACTTGATGAAAATCCTCAACAAAATCCTTTCAAAGCACAAGGAACTGAAGACTGATGGCTTTAGCCTTGACACCTGCAGGAGCATTGTATCCGTCATGGACAGTGACACCACTGGGAAGCTGGGCTTTGAAGAATTTAAGTACCTGTGGAACAACATCAAGAAGTGGCAGTGTGTCTATAAGCAGTATGACAGAGACCACTCCGGGTTTCTGAAAAGTTCTCAGCTGCAGGAAGCTCTGCAGGCAGCTGGCTTCCAGCTAAATGAACAACTTTACCAAATGATTATCCGACGGTATGCTGAGGATGATGGAAGTATGGATTTTAACAACTTCATCAGCTGCCTGGTCCGCCTGGATGCCATGTTTCGTGCTTTCAAATCTCTGGACAGAGATGCAGATGGCCTGATTCAGGTGTCTATCAGGGAATGGCTGCAGCTGACCATGTATTCCTGAAGTGAGCAGAGCACCAAGGTCTCCCTGGGGGACGAGACTACTGAGTACTTTGCCACCCTGTGCACAGTTGTTACCCTTCCAGCAGCTGTCATTTCCTGGAGACTTTTTATAACCCCACACCTTTCTGATCGCTGGCTACCTTTTACAGCTCTATTAAACATTTTCTAATGAAAACAGTTGTGAGTGGTTTGTATATCAGCTTTTTAAGATATTAGATTTATATATGTAGACATATATGTGACAGGAATGGGGTAGATTTTTAAAAGTTGTTGCTTATTTGGTGAGTGGATTCCAAGGAGTTGGAAATTTATCATTGTTGTGGCTTTTATTAGTAATTAATATTTTATGAAATCCTGGAATAAATCAAGAAAGCACTAAGGTGATATGTTTTTCCCTTTACAAAGGTGTGGAGGGAAGTTAAAAAATCTGTTTTTCTCATAATTTCACATCTGGTCTTTCTATTCTGTAAAAAAAAAAAAAGAAAGAAAGTGCTTTCTAGGAAACTATTTGTATAGAAACAGATTCAGAAATGTGAAGTTAAACAATTTTATGTAAGTGTAACATTTTAAAAATGATGGAGCAAACTATCTAAAATTCTGGAATTACTGATTCTGTTTTCTAATAAAATAAATCTATGCTAGCTTTGTTTTAATATGTTTATAGAGAGAACCAAAGGCATTGAGGAATAAAAGGGTATACACACGTGTCATAAATATCTTGGGCCACCTTAATGAATCAAAATCATCACTCTTATACATATTTCATGCAGAGTGAGGCATGCCTAACAGTTATTGGCCAGCCAACTCTTGTCATGTCTTGCCTTACTTTAGAGCAAGGAAAATTCTTTTGCTTACCTTTGAAAATTTTTTTCAGATAGAAAAACAAACAAAAGTACAAATGATAATCAGTTAAATAGGATATAAAGCAATATACTGAACAAATATTATTGACTCTTATTGCAGTGGTTCCTTGCCGAGGTTGCAGTTTAGGATCCCTGGGAGAATTCTTTAGGAAGATTAATACCTGAGTCCCACTCCAAATAAGTTAAACGTGACTCTATAGAAGAGGAGCCCACAGGTGAATATTCTCAGAGCTCCTCTGCTGAGTCTAATGAGCATCCAAAGTTGACAGCCTTAACTGCTTTGAAGTATAGCTGTCCTCCCAATATTTTTCAAATGTATCTCAGCTAAAACTGAGGCCAAACAGAAGAGTCAGTGTTGCCATTGTTGAGGATGACAGGCATACTGAAAAACTGCCACCCGCAGACTGGACTAGTCTTGCCTTTCTTGTGTGTAGCCCATAGTTTTATTTTATAATTTTGATATTGGATATCATAGGGGAGAAAGAAGAATGCATGATCTTCATTTGCAAATGCTCAGTTCCTGTGCCTGCTATTTACTTGGTCTCCACCCCTTTGGGTGCTCTTTTAATAAAGTCCCACTGTGCCAGGCTACTTCAGAGGGTCTTCTGAGCAAAAGATAAATTCTTTTTTTTCTTTTCACTCTTTTAGAAAAAAGGTTGTCACTATGGAAATGATGTAACTAGCCTGTTAAGAGCCCCCAAATGCCTGTTAGAAATCCCCAGTGAACATTGGGAGAAGTTGGCGTTTACCCTCTACGATTACCATCATCGCCATCATATAATATTTATGAAACTCCATGCATACATAATTCTGAACTGAGCCAAGCACAGAAATCGCATTCACTTCCCTCGAGGGACTTGTAATTTAGCTTGGTCTGGCAAGATACTTAGACCAGGTGTGGTTATATAAGCAAGAGGTTGCTGCCAGCAACCACACATTAATATCAATCTCCCAATTTTAGAATTAGCCCAGGAATATGTCAGGAGTGGGTTTAGGACAGCAGCCAGGAGAGGGAGAAAGCGGCCAAGATGTCTTTTAAGGACTCAGAATATTAAATTTATAACTCATTTTTTTCACATAATTCTTAAGGAAAGCACAATTTGTGGTTGCATTTTTTGTTCCAAATTTCATGTTAAATAGTTTTCAAAGTTAACATAATCATCTCACACTGGGGGTGGTATTAAGCCTCTTATTCCTCAAGTTGAGGGATTACCTACTTTTATGATTCTTTCCCAGTATATGCATGGAGAAACGCCAAAAGTTACCTAAGTTTCTCCTCCAAATTTGTATAAAATTTATATAAATAACGTCAGTCACCAGCATGGATACTAGAAAATTCACCTAAACCCTAGATTTATTCATGTAATCAAACATATATTTATGTATGTGGGTAGAAATATACTTGTAGTCAGAATATTGAGGTGGAAAGTATATCTTTTCCCGACTCTTTTAAAGAGCTGATAATTTACTGTATTTTAGTAATAATATTCATTTGGATTTATAGATTATCTTAAAATATTTAAAGATTCTCTCTTGGTGGTTTGCTGAAAATTCTTTCATATAAACAACTTAAAATTATTTTTAGGACATTGATTATTTTCATTTGCAGAGATTATATTACATCAATCAGAACACACAGTGAGAAAATAGTCCCTATCCTTGGCAATTTACCATTGCAAAATGTATTTAAAACCATATTCTTTATTGTTGTTTTTCTTCTAAAACTAAAGCAAAAAATTTATTGAAACTGTCAACAAAAAATAGTTTGGCTAAACTGAACAGAAGTAAATTCTCATTTTTAACATTTAAATTTACATTAATGGATACATCCATGCTATGTGAAAGACTGTGTAAATGAACGTTTCCATTTTCCTATAACTACACTGACTGAAAATCATATCCTTAAATATTGCTGGATTTAAAAAGCTCAATAGAGTATCCGATTTCTTATTAATACAAATGTTGAATAAATACAACTGTGAAACAACCTGAAAGATCTGATCCTTGAGAATCAGACCGTTTATTCTTTCTGAAGTACTGAATGGACAGTGTATGAGTAAGTGGCTTAGAGCTTCCCACTGGCTAGCGTGGTGTGGATGAGTAGAGGAAAGGTGCTGAGTAATTGTGGCCCCCATATGCACCCCGCGTGCGTTTCTAAGCTTTTCTGATCCCGCTGACTTCGAGGGAAAAGAGGAGACCCCCAAGTCTGGAGATTTAGTGAGGCTCGGTGTAGCTCCAGGGCATTCCTGAGCTCCAGATTGGTACTGGAAGGAACAGGGTCTTCCTCCAGATAGCTGGTCTCTTCCTTTGAAATGTGGCACTGAAATAGTTTCTAGTCTGGATTTTTAAATTAAGGTCATGATTCTTCTGGGAATTCAGTAAATTTTTAAAGGAAAGAACTACAGACTTGTGGAATAAAACTTTTATCATGAAACTGATTCAAAATAAAAACAATAAAGCATGCATTGCTAAACAACCTTTTTTGTTTTCTTGAATATATTTAATCAAACTCTTTGCTTTAATTTGAGTGATTGGTAGTAAGACTACCTACATTTTCTAATCCATTGATTTTATTGGTACATTCTAGGTATATAGTATGCTGATATTCATTATCGGGAATTTGAACCATTTACATAATCTATATTGCTTCTTATTTCTTCCCCCATTCTCCTCCTCTCCTTTCAATCCCTCCACAGCTCATTACGAAGGCTTTGTTTCCATTTTTTTCTTTTCTCATATTTATTCCTTTCCCTTCTCTCCTTTCCCCTACCCCATTTCCCCTTCCACTTTGCACCTTTTCTTCCTATTTCACATTATCTCTTAAATATTTTTATCCTTATTTACACTTTCAGTTTCTCACATCAGAGAAACTGTTATACATGTATCCTATTTATTTTACTCAAGAGTATGGCTTCAGTGTGCAAACATTTAGTTATAAATGTCTCTAGTTTCTCATTCTTTATGGCTGAGTTGTACTCCATCTTATTAAAAGACTACATATTTTAAAACCAGTCTCCAATTAATGGGCAGTTGTGTTGTTCCCAAGTTTTAGCTATTACAAACTGTGCTGCTACGAGCATGGGTGCACATGTATCACTATGGTACGACTCTTTCAGTTCTTTTGGGAAGATACCCAGAAGAGGACTAGCGGGGTCAAATGAGACCTCTAATCCCAGTTCTTTGAGGTATCTCTGTACTGATTTCCATAGGGGTTGCACCAGTCTACGCTCCCACCAAGAGTCGAAAGGGGTTCTTTTTTCCTGATTTTTAAAAGTTCTTTATGTGTTGTAGATAGTAGACCTTTATCTGAGGAACAGCTGGTAAAAAAATTTTTCCCCACATTGTGGGTGTCTCTTCACACTGTTGGTGGTTTGTCTTGCTGTGCAGAAGCTCTTTAATAAGATGAGTTTCCACTTGTTGATTCTTTGTGCTAGTTCACATATAACTGAGGTTTTGTTCATGAAATCTTTTCCTATGCCAATGCCTGCAAGAGTTCTACCTAACCTCTCTTCCAGCTGGTTTAGTGTTTCTATTTTAATATGTAGATCTTTAATCCATTTTAATTTTAGTTTAGTGCATGGTGAGAGATATAGGTCTAGTTTTAATCTTTGGCAAATTGAAACCCAATTTTTCCAGCACCATTTTCTCCAGTGAGGGTGCTTGGTTCCTTTGTCAAAGATGAGGTGGCTGTGTGTCTGGAGTTGTTTCTGCATCTTCTTATCTGTTCCACTGATCTTTTGGTGTGTTTCTGTGCCAGTACCATGCTGTTTTTATCACAGTAGCTTTGTAATATACTTTCAAGTTGGGGATTGTGATACTCCCTACCTTCTCTTTGTTGCCTAGAATTACTTTTGCTATTCTAGGTCTCTTCTGGTTCCAAATGAGTTTTTGGATTGTTTCCTCAAGTTCTGTGAAGTATGTCACTGGAATTTCAATTGGGATTGCATTGAATCTATATAGCAGTTGTGGAAGTATGGACGTTTTCACTGTATTTATTTTTCCTACACAGGAGCAAGGGATGTCTTTCCATTTTCTGATGTCCTCTTCAGTCTCTTTTTTTCAGAGTGCTATAGTTTTTAGAGTAGAGGTCTTTGATTTCTTCTCAGGTTTATTCCTAGGTATTTCATTTGTTTTGGAT